CGCCCTATTGGCTCAAGCCTGAGGGGGATGACAGTCTGATCTGGTGGCCAGAACCAGGTCTGACCCGGTTCCAAAACCAGGGAGGTCACAGGAAGCAAAGCCCCTCTCCTGCCACCAGAACCCCCACCGCCTCCACATCAAACCATGACACTCCTTTATCTTCAGGCCTCTCTTTCTTGACAGCTGTCTAAATACGGTTGCATCCAAGTTGTGCTTTTGAGTGACGCAGATGATTGCATGTGTGTTTAGAAGCCATTTAAAAAACAAAAAGATTAATTGAATTTAGTCCCTGAAGCAAGATTTTTTTATTTCAAACAAAAGACCAGCCAGATAGTTGATCAAGATTACAAACACAGAAGTAAAAATTTACCTGATTAGGATTTTCTGTATGAGTACCAGTAGTCCCTAATTCTGGTATTTCACCTTTGAGGTCTATTTAAATTAGATTCTAGTTTAAATTCGCAGAGTTGCTCTGCGATCTGATGGGGCTATTTTTGTGACTGTTTACCCTAATCTTTGTTGCTGTTATTTGAATAAAAGAATATAGATGGTTAGGTTTAGAGCCTTGTATTTAAAAAAAAAAAACAGGCCTAAACAAAGAATCTGTCATCAGTTTTCTCTTGAGAATCACATTTTCACCAATATTCTTTTTTTCCCCTAAGTGGCTTGAAGAAAGAATTTACAACTTTATAGAAATGCTCTTTGAATTCCTACCTAATACATCGCTGATTTATAGGCAGCCAGAACTAAACATGTGAGTGTGTAGTCATTACAGTACTGTACTTTAATTAGATTTTATTTTGCTTTGGGTTTTTTCCCCATTGATTCTCAGGTTGTTTTCACATTACACTAATCATTCCATTGCACATGTGTAATTTGTCATTTGGTGAATATTAAATCCTCTTCCGCTGCATTTCAAACACTGATGCTGAATTCTGGTTCTGAACTGATTGTTCAAAAGAAAGTTCATTCTTGGCCAGAAGTGCTAAATTTCCTGCTAAGTTTGTTTCCGTCATGCAGCATCGTGCAGATGTGTAAAAGATGATTATTCATCTCACATTTGTGATCCACTTCACTTACTACTACTGCTTTGTGGGGGATGTCAGCATGCTCCGGATCATGACTTTGTTCAATCTGTAACAAACTGGCGCAAAGGGAAATATTAGTGATGTTGGTCTTGTAAGCGCTTCCGCATCTATTTCTTTCTCATCGCAAAACTGAAAGGTGATTTTGTATGGATTCCTGTTCAAGAATTGTGCATTAAAACCAGGAGAGATTTTCTTTTGGATTTAACTGTAGAAACATGCTCCCATACTGTTCTGTTGTTTGCCACTGCCTTATTCTGGATAGTTGAAGCAACTGTTTTCATGGACTACTGTATTGCCAGCTTCTTTCTCAAAGACAGCTGAAGTTTGGAAGCAAAGGATCTGTAGAAACACCACTTTGTTTATCCTCTTTTTACTGATGGATTTAATGTCATTGGTACAGAGAGATTGTTGAGAGCAGCAGTAGTGATACTTGCAAAGGAGTAAGGGAGAAAGCAAGACCCAATGTGGCTGGAAGTATTTTCTCTTGTGTGTTTGTAATAAAGGTTGTCCTGGCTGGATGGTGAGAGGAGGAATGTCTCCTTCTCGAGAGGACTGTGGGTCAGTAGATGGGAGGAGAAGGGGGATCAGGACCTTCCTCTTGATAAACCATGGCTGGAAGCAGCTCGGTGCTGTGCAGAGCTGCACGGATGCCCTTGCCTTGTGTAGCAGGAGCATGTCATCGCATCAGGCAGGGCTAATGGGGGAGATGGGAATTGGGGCCTGCAGCCTCCCTGCTCCCTCTCACAGCTCCATCTCTGCCTGCAAAAGTCACCAGGTTGGAATGAAGTCCAAGTTTTCCTTCTTTACCCAGCCATGAATTCAGTGGGCAACCTTGCCTGGATTTTCAGATCTCTGAGCATACTCCTCCTTCGTTAAGGGACTAACCAGACTGAGCAAACTGCTTTGAAATGTAGGTATGAAGTGACTATCTGAATGTGCCAAGCAGCACAACTGCATTTCAAGTGACCTTTCAGTCTGAAACTTTGCCAAAGGGAGGAGAAAGGAAGCCACCGTTGTATCGAGTTCTGCACAGAGATCCTGCAAACAGATGGTGTTTGCATATAGGATATGCTGTTCGGGTGCAACTTTACTACAACGCTCTTCATTTTTAATAATTTCAGGCGGGCTAAACTCCGGCTATATTTGGAACAGCTAAAACAGCTTGTGCCTCTCGGGCCGGACAGCACCAGACACACCACTCTAAGTCTGTTGAAAAGAGCCAAGATGCATATCAAGGTAAAAGCATTCATCCATATTTTTATTTCTTTTAAAGGAGAAGCTTCCAGAATGTGTATCCATGGAGAGGAAACTAATTTTCACACAAAATCCATATCCGTATGTCCGATCTCTGGCTAGATTTGCCTTCATTAGTTGAAAGGATTTCAGTCACAGTATCAAGGTTTTGTGTTTCGCAATTTACCCTGCAGTCTCAGATATATAAAACGGTGATTTTGTGATTTCTGCTTAGTTACTAGTGGTTTACATTGTATTTTAATAAAATAATATATATGTATCAAAGCTGTTCTTTTTATTAATGTATTTTTTTTTTAAAGACTGAGCAAAGTAGCATTGTTCTGCATTGATTTCAATGTAAAAAGCCAGAGCCATTCATGATTGAAAAAAACTAATGAAGTCAAAGGATTTATAGCTACTAGTAAGTCTTATCCTCATCCCACGTCTTGATGACCAGACCCTGGAGCATTTGACAATCATTTAAAAGTAACCAAAAATGAACTGCAGTCTCCTGTTAGTTGCTGCTCCCCTTGCATGTTTCACAGAGTAACAAGTTTAAAACAAAAACGAACCCAAAATCTCACCTGTGATCCAGCAGCAGTGCAGGTTATACATTTGCACAGGTAATTCAAAGGGAATTATTCCTCAGGCCTCCTCTCTCCAAAGACATCTTCACTCCTATTTTCACTGTTGTCATTTTCAGGAGAATGGGGTTATATGCAGAAATAAGACGAACGGGTATTCAAATGTAAAAGTTAAAGAACAGGTTTCTGCCACTGTGTCCAGGACTGTAATATTTCCAGTGTTGCAGGGAAACAGGTCAAGAAAAGTGTCAGGAGAGGCTGAACACTGCCAGTAATCTTTGATATTTTGGAGAACAGCCTGCTATTGTACAGCATTGAGATTCACGGCAGTTGCAGAAATGTGTAGTTCATATGAAGAATTAAAGATTAATTTAAGCAAAACCACTCTTGTGAACAAGTTTACTGAACTACTTCTTCAGCTCTTGTAAGCACATTTACTCCAGCTGGGCAACCCCTGTTTTTACCATTTGAGAATTTGGCCTCTTGTTTATAATTCAGGCTAACATGCGTGAAAGGCACTGCATGTGGTTTTTGTCTTGGGCTGCCCCCCTATCATGGGCTTATGCATACAAATTGAAAAACTGTTTTTACAAGTGGCAAGTGTGAGAGATTAGCCATGTAGTTACCGTTTCAGCTGCTGATAAAAAAAAGCTAGGAACGGCTTCTTTCCAATTCCATCGTGCATGGTACCAAGTACTCATTTTCTGAAAACTGAAACTGAAGTTTAGCTTTCTTTTTAAGATTTTAACTGAACCTACCCTAACTGAGTTGCCACTTAATTGCTCCTCTTCGTCAGGTCAGCTGCCTCCCCGCTGCACTGCCAGACGCACGCCAGTGCCTGTCTGCCGTTTCTAACGCAGTCATTAGTTGTGAGCTTTTCACACACACTCCCTCCATGTATTGAAACTTGCCCTGAAAGATTGGACCATTTTGAGTCTCCTGGATATGAATCACTGAGTTCATTCCTAAAATAGTTGTTAAGAGTTTGGGACTGCAGCCAGGAAAATACAGGAAAAGGAAATCTGATCAGTTGGGCACATTTGGTTTGTTGTGTACACGGGTGTACCAACCCCTTTTCTTATTATAACATTGTGTATCCACGTATGATGCATTTCTGCGTAGTGTGTTGCCTGGGAGGGGGCTTTAAACAAGGCTGCAGCAGTTAGATTTCATTCAGCCAGGAAACTGCCCAGTTCAATAGTGTCACTTATTTTTTTCAAAGATAAATACTTTAGCTTTCAGGCTTGCATTGGAACAGCAAAATCTCTGAAGTCTTTGCTTGCAGTTTGCTGTGCACTGTCCCACTCCGCTCTCCTCAGAAAACCACACATAGGTTCATTCAGACGGTAGGGAGGAATCGTCAGCAGCTGTATTCACTCCCTGCACATCTCCTAAGTCTCAGTGGTCGTGTAAACACAGCTCACACAGAAATTAGGTCTTTCTTCCAAGTGCTTTTACTGCTACAACCTGTAATTCACTTCATCAGTTAGATTTTTTTTTAAGTAATATACGGTGTTTTGATTTCCTTCCTGCTTTTGATCCCATCACACTCCTTACACTTTCTTCCCTAAGTATGTAGTCATCTTTTTAAAATGGCTTTCATCAGTGATTTGGAAGAGGGTTCAGTTGGAATCTTAAAAGGTACTATTATTACATTTGAACCAACAGTGTAGCACATTTTACCAGGTGCGAAGTACACTTCTTATTTGCAAAACTAATACCTTCTTTTATTGAAGGAGAGGAGAGATTTTAGGTACATGTGCAGAAGGATCCTTTCACAGGCTGTTTGCTGAGAAGTTTTGTAGGTTTTGTAGGAGGTTGTCACAGAATTACCACATTTGCTCTGCAGTTGAAGGAAAAAAAATACAAGAATAAAGAGACTTGTTAGTAAATTCCTCCTACTATATATAATTAATATTGCTTATTGTTAATGAAGCTTTTTAAGTGGCAAAAAATTTCCATGGCTTGCGGTAGGAGGGAGAGCATTCAGGAGGCTCGCAGTGGTTCTTTTGTAGTGATAGGTTTCTTATTTCACCTAAAGAGGCGTTACGTTCTGACTGAAACTTGAGCTGTGCTCCAGTTATCAAAGATGATGCTAGTTTTGCCTGATAAAACGATTTAAATATTCCCCACAACCAAGGCAACAACAATTCTGTCTTAGCTGAGGAATGTCTGCTAGTGGCAAAAGAGTTTCTGAGGGATTTCCCCCCCCCGCCCCGGGTATCTGTGTATCTTTCTGTGAAACAAATTCAGCTCTGGCCTAGCCTGCTTAAATTGTACTGACCTCTGCAGAACGGTAAGAAAAAATTAAAAAATTTAATTTGAATTTAATTAAAATATTTAAATTGCTTTAAAATTACTGTTTATGATAAGATCTTAAGTTACTTATATTTTAACATGAGTAGAAACTGTTGACTTACTGTCTTTCTCTCCCTTTAAGAAATTGGAAGAACAGGACCGAAAAGCTCTAAATATTAAAGAACAATTACAGCGGGAACACCGCTACCTCAAACGCAGATTGGAGCAGCTATCCGTGCAGGGCATGGAGCGTATCCGCACTGACAGTATGGGATCAACAATATCCACTGACTCTGAACAAGGTAATTGAACGGGGGCTTCCCAAAGGGAGTTGCTGGAGCAGGAAGGAAAAGGGAAGTTGGGAAGTGAGAAAACATTATTTAGAATCAAAATCAAGCTTTCAACAAAACCCAGACAAAATTGTTCCATTTTGCGATTCGCAGAATAAAAAACTACTGCATCTTTTTTCCATTAGTTGAAAAACTTTTCTAATCAATTTTGAAACTGTTAATACCGCATGAATTTTTAAAAGCTATTTATACTGCATGTGTTTTTGCCAGTTTTTTTAACAATTACCATTTAATGTTCAGAATTGTTAGTGTAATTATTGGTAAGGCTGGCATAATATTTTCTTCTTGGGAGAAAAGATCTTATTGGTCTTAATTCATTTGTGTGAATAAATGAATTCCACATCATTAACTGGGAAATCTTAAAATATTTTCTGTGTAACGATCACCCAAGTGCTCCCTACATTTGGTTCTCATTTAAGGCAGAGCTCTTCAAGCTCCCTGTCGCCATTTCTTGTTTGCTCATTTGAAGTTTTTCTGTGCCTGAACACTGGCACTGACTTTTTCAGGGCCTCTAGGAGATGAGTTGTCGGTCACGGTGCGGTTACCGGTGGACAGATGGCTACACCACGGTCGCTACTAGCTGACACCTGCATAGGTTGGAATTACCATGAACAGTGCTGCAGTACTGTGGCCTCTGAGGATTGGTTTTTTTTTTAAGATCAGTGTCTGTGCGCAGGTTGGAACAGTTCTGTGACAGCATTTGGTATTGATGTCATGCAGTATGTTTATGTGGATGAGGACAGAAGGGATTTCAGTTCTCAGGTGGACAAGATGATCCTTTCCTCAGGAGCTACTGTTCCATTTTTTTTTTTCAATGACAGAAAATGAAGTATGATTCAGATTTCACCTGAACACTGATTGGCTCAGACAATACTGGCCCGTGATTACTTGCCACAACTGCTGCCTTTCTGAAAATGTGCCTTCTTATGTTTTCTTTAGAAGTAGACATTGAAGGAATGGAGTTTACTCCAGGTGAAATGGACAGTATTGGAAGTGCCAGTGATGCTGAAGACCACTACAGTTTGCAAAGCGGTTCGAGTGACGGAGGTTACACACATTCCCGCAGACTGAATGCCAGGCTCTCATAGTGCCTGAGTTACCCGTTCAACTCAGGACCATCTGACTGAAGCACTTATATATGAATATTCCAGAGGTGTCAACTGCCACTCTTCCGGGAAACCCCAACCACAGTACTCTGACATGGAGGTTTCTTACCCACGGTTCCCTGCACTGTAACCACAATATTAGATATTGTAAATCATGGGTTTGCTGCAGAGAACTGTGGTTAGGTACAGTTGTGACTTAAAGCTAGCTTGATGTAGCCATACTGCAAATTAAAGAAAATAAATTTTGTCATTCCATTCAAGAAGTATTAAATTCAAACTGTTGGAAGCATGGTGTAAGGGAGTTTGACAGTTATTTTGATTTTGCAGAAACCATTTCAAACATGGAAGAATAAATGGAATCTACGATGTGTTAGGGATTCGGAGATACGAAAACCTAAAACTACTTTTTGTGGTATTTTTTCATGAGAAAAAACCCCAAAACATTTTTAACGCTGTATAGCAGGTTCTATAGAGTAAATTCTTTCAGCAGTTGTTGTTTGGGTGAAGCAGGCAGATAACTCTTCAAATCTCAGATGATCTTTAGAAAAGGTCATATTTACAAGTCACTACTGTACTTCAAAACGGGGGAAAAGCCAGCTCTAATGATGACTTCATGTGGGATGATCTCAACTTTCTTTTGCTTTTTTGTATTCAATATCCAACCAGCAGCAAATCATTCTATCCATGTTAATGGGAGCAGCAGAAAGCAACACTGCAATTTTAACCTGTTATCGTGGAATGGATGACATTTGAAGCATTTCAGTGTTTTTTTGGGTTGTTTTTTTTTCATTTCTTTGTCTGAAGAATACAGAACTCAAGTGATCCAGTTTGTGATAGTTAATCTTTCCTTGCAAGGAAATGAAATCTCTGTTTGCTTGTATTTTTTTTCTTTTCTTCTATTTACACATGTCAAAACATTTTTATGGAAGGCATGGCTTAAAATTACAGTATTCAGCTAGAAGATAATTAATCTTTTTTTTTCTTTTGCACACTATAATTGCATTTTCTATTCTTAAAAAAGTGCAAAAAAAATAAAATGTATGCTGTAAAACAGCAAAGTTTATTTAGTACTCATCAAGCTGTTCAGAACATATTTACCCAAATTGTAGCAATACTATGAAGATGTATTTTAATACAACTTCTGCTTAGTGAAGTCATTAGAGCTTGGCTTGCCGGGTAAGAAAAAAATGGACCAGTCTTTGCATTATCTGTTTAAAGAAGGTCTTTTAAAAAAAAAAAAGAAGAAAAAAAAAGAAAAAAAAAAGGAAAAAAAAAGAAAAAAGCTATAAACACTTTTAGGGAAGTGATTTTAGCAAGTGTAGTCTATATTTCCTGTAAGAGATTTTGTATTATATTTTCCTAAATGTTCTCATTTACTTGTATAGGGAGGGGAATGGTACAGACCCAGACCAGAGTCTCAGGGACTCTTCACCTTTGTCATATTGTGCCTTGGTGACCATTTATGTATGCCTCTCCTTCTCATTGTTTAAAGGACAACTAAGCTTTGTTTCGAGACCCTCTGTTCGAATGGTCAGTTGTCCACCTTCTTACGGATGAAGCAGAGAGGTGTATTTATATCTTCACCCTCTCACAACTGATTCAGTGTGGCTTTAAGTGAATTCATAAAATTAGGTTTTGGTGCGAGGGTTAATCGTCTTTGCGTAAGCCCTCCCTTGGATTCTTCAGCACCCAAATCTGTATTTTGTTAGCTTATAAAGTCAGGGTCTCTGTGAGACCAGTGCTCGGTGGCTAGGGAAACACAAACGTACTGTGTAAGGCTATGGGATGTCCAAGTGTGGTGCCATTTTTAGCATTCAGATACAAGACCTCATGACAGACTGACCATAATGATCAAAAACAAAGATTCAGTTGTTCTTTCAACATCTGACATACGTGTCCTCCCTTTGGCTCTTACAACACGGAGTAGAAACATGAATACATTTTGTGGCAGCTTACAGATCCTTGTTTGCACTCTCGCTTACTGCTTGGAACTTGCCAACAAGGAAAACGTGTATGTTTAATTTACATAACCTAATGGACGGCCACCCCTACTTTGGCTCTGGGGAGGGGCCTAAGGTTATAAACTCTGGCAGCTGAATAAGAAAACAATTAACCTTTTCTGTGATGCAGGTTTTGGTATTATGTTCTATACACCTTGCATATTACTAAAATCCTCATTGTTGGGGAAAGCACACAGCAATATACTCATTGTGTGTAGCTGACAAGCAGCAGAAATTACTAGCTCCTTTGGTGCATATGTAACTAATTTCCAAATCATGGAAAAAAAAAAAAAGAGTTTACTTTAACACACGACTGTTAACGAGAAAAAAAAAGGCTAGTATATTGTTGCTGTTCATTTATTATATAATGAACACACTCATGAATTGTAAAGTGTTTCCTTTCATGACAAGCAGCTCTTGCACAGAACCTCCTAATGAAAAGAGATTTGAAACTTAACAGAAGGAAAACCAAGATTTTAAATTGAACATTATTGTACCTTAGGTCGACCTGAAATTTTCCTTTTAAAGATGAATGTGCTAACTTAATGAGTTCTTCCACGCTGGGTATCCATGGCTTTGTAGATCTTATATTTTCAATAAAAATTACTCGAATAATCTTGAGTGGAAATAAAAAGGGTTTATTTGTTTTTACTTTTCAGTCATTACAGCCGGGGGCCATACTGCCTGTGTCATTCTCCCTCAAGCGCAGCCCCGTTTCAGGCGGTGTTTTCAGGCACAGCCCCTTTTCGCATCTGGGACCGAAGCAGCCCAGCGGAAGGCCACTGCGCAGCTGCTTCTTTGGTGGCTGGTTTGGGCGGCCGCCTGCCCCGGGGCAGTGCTGCAGTCCACTGCGGTGCCAGTCGGGGTTCTGACATCCCTTTAGGGACGTGATTCACCTGCTACCGGGCAGCCCGCGCAGCGCTGCCTGTGGCAACAGCGCCTTGGGACCCAGATAGTGACCTATATTTATTATTTTTTTTTAAGCCGGATATCTGTGTGTGTGCTCCGTGTGTGTGCATACATGCATGCTACCACTGCCTTGGCAGCTCTGCCATGTTGTGTCATGACCGTGGTTTTAGCAGGTGAGGAGATAGCACTGCTCAGTAATCTATTTTCTCTGCAGTTACCACATAGGAAAAGGAGTAGGGACAAGATTACAGGCCTGCTAGGTCTTTTCCTCTGTGGAAGAGGCGCTGGAGAGATGAAGTCATCAAGAAGTTCTTTTTATGGAGATGTAGAGGTTTGGCCTGTTTCCTGGTGGGAGAAGAAAGGAAGGGCTTTCCCTTACAGCACGCAGTTGTCGGAAGGATACACGCCTCTTCATTACTCCTGGATTAGCTTTTCCTCTAGCTCCATGAGCGCACTCTCTGCCATCACAAGAGAGGCAAAAAAAAACCCCCAGCCTAAATTTGTTAACTTTTCCCGCAGATTCTCCACTGCAATTAGGAAGATGAATCCTCCTTCACGCCCGTCCTCTCTCTGCTTAACACGTACTCCCCCAGACCCACTGAGGTTGGGTTATTTATCTTCTGAAAAGAGCAGGGTTTGGCCAGTAGAAACTCCACAACACATTGCTACCCAGAGCCTGGATCCTGTATTGTCTTGTGCAAAGAACAAACTCGGTTCAGAGTGAGTTCTATCAGATCAAAGCAGAAACAAAAAGGCCCCCAAAAATCCGTGAGGACAGTTTTTCCTTTGGTGTTTATAGATGAGTTTCTATCCTAAATACTAATCCTTTAGTGTGAGATTTGGGGTGGAAAAAAAAAAAAGAATTAAAATCTAATACAACTTTGCATCTAACTTAAAGAATTCAGACTTTTCCTGACCTTAAACAGCATTATGTGTTTTTTGACATGGATGAGTAATGAGTTCCAGGTATACCACACGTGGCCTAACAGCATTTTGCAAAAAAAAAAAAAGTTACTTCTATTGATCTACAAATAAATTACTGTGATGTCAGTATCCTGAGCAGCCTACTGCACAATCCACATAAGCCGTTTCAGTGGACAAACTTAAAGGCCAGAAGAAGAGAACAGGGTGAAAGAGGGGCAGTTGCGTGTGGGTGAGCTCCGCCTGCAGCCTGCTCCCGTTCCCAGCCCCACGGCGTGTTTAGCCGCAGGATGTACTTCTGCTTTTCTTGGAGGCATTTACAGCAGCCTCTGCTACTGTGGCAAGTCATTATTTCACCACTTTACCAACTTTATGGCAGACAATTGTCTTCACTGGTGACATTCTTCATGCTCACAGATCAGCCCTGCGGAAAAGAAACATATTTTTAAAAACACCCACACCATCTAAGCTTTTAGTCAAGCAATATTAGTTTTATACACTTCTATTTTATGATGATGTTGATAAAGGAATGTCTGCAAAACAGATTACTCTTTCAGAAATCTGTTTATTTTTTTTTAGTACTAGAGGCCATTGGTTTTGTGTGTGGTAAGAGCCAGTAACAGTGTTGATATTAAATCTACTAACTCGCACCTTCCAAAACTGGTGGAAGGTGAATTGAAACCCTTTAGATGCTCTTAAGGAAGAGCTGTTCTCCCTACAAATACTAATGGGGCAAACACACTCAGAAATTAATTTCAGCAGCAACTAAATGAGCCAATTTGCTTAAGTGACTGACTAAATGCACTGTTGTTAATTGGTAGCTGCGAAAGAAATGTACGAGCGTGTTGCATTAACTACCTAGAATTAAAACGTAGCGGTATATGAAACAGAAAAGACCAGAAAACATTTGGTCACCTTGGCTGTTCTTTCTACCTGAAGTACCGTAAATTAACCCCGGCAAAGGATTCCCAGGGAGGCGTGTCCAGCCAGGGACGTGCCTGTTGGCAAAGTGGAGTGAAGGTGCTCCAAGTTCAGAATTTCTTCCTTCCATTTTGCACGTAGAATGTGGTTACACACGATTTATGTCATTGAAAGGGTCTGTGCAATACGGAGTTTTAAGTGATTACAAATTTTGGTGCATGTGAAGCACTGACAGAGAGCCTTCTGCTGTTTACCGGTCAAATTGTCACCGAAAGGTGTTGGCGAGTGGGTTCTGTGCCAGAGCCAAAGGAACGGTTCATAGTCTGTCAGATGTGTTATCCTGTACAGATTCATTTGTTCGCAGTACATGGTGCTTCCTACGTTCTGTAGTACACAGGGTATTGTGTTGTATCATTATCTCATAGTAATATAAATACAATTTTTTATACCTTTTTGTTGTGGTTTTCAGGTTTTTTTCAATTTTTCATCTTTTTGTGTGTGTGTATAGTGTTTCTTCTCTTTGCAAATCTTTTCATATAGGCTTAATGAATATTTCATAAGGAGCTCACTGAGTTTTAGCACCTCAAATTAATAGTACGACATGAAGACTGGAGCGCTACTTAAAGTTCTTTTACATATGTTGGCCCAATGCAACCCCAATAGTCGTTAACATTATTTGTCTCTAACCATGGCTGCTGTATAAATTTCCATTATTGCATTTCTGAAGACAAACGAACCTGTAAAACAAAGTGCAAATTGAAATGCATTAGTGTCTGTTCTAAGTAATTATACTTGAAATCATTCCAGCTCTGTACAAGATAGAAAAAAAAAACAGCGTTAAAAGGCAGCCTACAAGTTGTGCATGTGTATTTTGTCAAATATGAAAGTCACATCACAAGTGATGCATAGCCAGACAAAAATGAGCATTTTATTTCATTACTGGGAGAGATGAGAGGAGGCACAAAACTGAAAAGCTTTTGCAAATTGCATCATTATACTCTCAACTGTGTGTAGAGTGTGACAACCACTGGTTTTTGTTTCAGTTTGTCACGCATGTTGCACTTACATACAGCGATGTCTTAAAAATACAGAAATAGTGAGTTTAAGCTGAAATCATGGCAACTGGCTTGTCGATATGTTTATGTTTGATTCAAATAAACTGAGCCACTGAATCAGTAAAAATATTCATGCACAAAGCATAGGAAACTATCTTTTCTACCAAAGCTTTCTTTGAAATTACCACTATCCCAGAATAAGCATAAAATACAATCTAGCACATCACTACCTTATTATAAATTAATCTCCAACAGGAAAAAAGCTATAATAAGCATTTAGCAGTGCTATATTTTGGGACAGCATCACTTTTCTCAGCACAAAAAAAGAATTGCATGGGGTAACAGAGTTAGGACAAATGTCATGGCACTATCTTTGTAAATCTTTCACAGTTTTATGACCTGTACAGCTTCTTTCCAGACATTTGTAATGTCTTATGATTTGTTTATAAGAAAAGTAATTCTCCTCATTTTGCTAA